TTCAAAATGAGATAAAACTTTAAATAAACATCAATACACAGCAGATTTATAATAACTTATAAGAATATTTTAGTTAAATGGGAGAATATTTATTAAATGATTGTTACATGAAACAAGCCAAAGAATTACATTTATATTTAAATCTGCATTTCGTTTATAATAATTTCTCTCAATATAAAGATGCATAAATTAAAGGTAAGTTTACTCATTATTAATATTTCAGTTTGTTTAACATTTTTCTGATTAATCAGTTTATTGCAAATAATATATTATCAAAAACATCCTGATCGTTTCAATTCAAATTAAATCCAAATCAGATCCAGTTTAATGCAAAAAACTATTTAATCTAGTTAAATATTAACAGTTTATTCGTTTAATAAAAGTCAACTTTAATTCAATAAAGTATCAATTTAATCGATATCAGCTCAGTTCTGTTCCAGATGGTTCAGTTCAGATGATTTATTGAGACTTTTGGGATTCCAGTTAGAGCCAGTAAAATTTACTCAATCGAAATATTTTCCAGTTTATTTAAAAGTTTGTTCCAGTAAAATCCAACAGAAACATCAACTGTAAAAACATCGATTTGGATTCAATTAAAGACATTTTACAACTCAATCCAATTGGAAAATGGGTTGAATTTAATTTTCCAATTGTTCATGTTTTTAGATAAAACAATTTTTTGATTAACTTTAAACTAATTTAGATTCAGTTTAAATTAGAAACAGATTCCAGTTTCTAATTTAAACTGAAATCAAACTCAATCCAGGATTTAAAAATCCATTTCAGTCAGATCAATTATGATTATTTATTCCCCCTTGATCCAGTTTAATTCAACAGAGAAAGCTTCATGAAAATCATCTATTTAATATACAATCCAATTTAACAACATTCAAATGGAAAGTAGTTCAGGTTAAGTCAGGTACATGAAGTCTAATCAGTGTATTTATATTTGAATTCTAAATTAATTTAATTAAATTCCAATTTAAATCAATTTGAAATTTAAACCAGCTGTTGTTCTTCACTAGATCAGAACCAACTTCAGTTCAGTTTAATTTAATTAAATGAAAGCAGATTTATTTATTTTCTGAGTTCAGCTGAATTCAGTTTAAAATTACTGTGAAAAAAAGAAAATCAGATTTTATTCTTCAGATCCGGTTTGGTGAACTGATCACTTCTGATGTAGATTATGGCTGAAACGGGTCAGACTGGAAATCTGTGATTTCTCCACATAAACTGACTACGATTCACTGAGAGTTTGACAACACCGCAGTAATAAACATCATTTATTCCACCAATCAAACTCCAGATAGCAGTTAGCTTCTTTTCTGCGTTTGACATCAAAAAATCCCGTCATGCTAAAGCTACACATGGTCAGTTAAAACACTCAGACTGCAGCTGCAGTCCGATCTGGAGCATAAACTAAAAAATAATAACACTAGTTCAACTGTGTAACATTCTAAAAGTATCTTCATCAGTTTAACGCGTCACATAAAGATGGAGAATCATTTTTACGATGGCTTTAAATTTGAGTTATTTAAAATGTTGTTAGCTTCTTCATTGATCTTTTCTGTCTGATTCTCTAACTGAGATCACTCTGACTGCCGTCTACCACAGGTAAGATAGTGACTCCTCAAAGCTACTCCACACAGCCCCCCTTGAATTAAGCCACTTATTTAAGCATAAGAACAGAAAAGGTTGAATCTGAGAGGAATTAGTGCCTGTATTAGATTCCTTTTTAAATTTTAACCTGAGGAGCGGTGAGCATCCGTCAGCTGAACATAAAAACCGTTGGAGGAGAAGCTGGAGGATAAATCAACCCTTCATCTCACCCGGCTCCCCTTTCCTACAGTGAGGGAACATTTCCGTTGCTGGGAACGTCCCTGAACGTTGGACGCTCATTTGTCTCCTGCAGGGCCCCGCTGCTGCCTTTTCATGGCCCTGTAAGAATAATTTAGAGCTGGAGGCCTGAGATCACTGGAGATTATTGCTTTGAAAGAGAAAAGGACAAGTCATTAATGCTTGATGGTCGGACAGAAGAAAGAGAAACGGATCCTTAGCTGGAGCTGACACCTCTGTCATGGGAAACCAGGAGAAAAAACAGGCAGGATGAAGGACGGAGGAAATATGTGGAGATGTTAAACATGTAGGGAAACATGGAAAATGAAGGACAAAGGTTTGAGATGTTGAAGACATAAGTCTGGTTTTCATGTGGAAACGATTCACACAAGAATCTTAACTACAAAAAGTAACAAAAGTCTTTACAGAAATGTAGCATGATTTTTATTCTCAAAATGTAAGAAAAAAATGCTACTTGAGTACAAATGACCAAAAACTGTCACTGCAGGATGTGACTTTTATTTGAAAACAAATTATTTTTACATGTCAGAACTGTCACCATGTTGTGACAGTTTGTTATGAGACAGTCTGTGAAAGAAATGCACCAAAAACAACCAAACAGAGACAAGAGGCGGGACTTAGCGCTGCCAATCATCCTCATGTACTCCGTGCTAAATGTGCTAATGGCAGAGAAACAATTCAGTTATAGATAAGAAATTTATCCGCTGTTATTGGAGGCTATGCTAACTAGCCTTAGCATTCACAGTGTGCTACGCTAGCTCCCAGTGCAGCTAGCACAGAGTAGATTCATTTTGTTCAGTTTATCTCGCATAAACTGTCACAACAGAGTGACAGTTTCAACAAATATTTAAAGGATTTTTTTTAAATAAAAATTGCATACTGTAGTTTTAAGAACAGTACCAAGTACATTTATTTTGTCTCTGCGCTTCTAATCCGGTCATTAGCAGGACTGGAGAACTGCAGGCTGAAGATGTGATGTGGTAAAAAAAATCTACATGTGCTTCCACTTGGTGAGATTATTTGATGTGATAAATGTCTGATATGTTCATGATATTCAGCTAAATTTACCCAACAGCAGATTTTACCTGAATTTGCTGAATCTAATATGATTTCTGCACTAACATGAAATTTTCTTTCTCTTGGATGAAAACTCAGCATGCAGCAGATGATGAACTGAAATTATTAAAGAATCAGTTAAAAACTGAAATGAAAGTTAAAGTTCCTTCAGAATCTGTGATAATTAGTGATGAAGACGCTTGGAGGTAACAGGAAGAACTGAGGGTGACCTGAAACTTTTGCACAGTGGAGTAAACAAAGGTCAGTGCAGATCCTGTGAAGTAGCTGGAGTCAGTGTGTGTGTGTGTGTGTGTGTGTGCGTGTGTGTGTAGGCAGAGACCCCCCACCAGGCAGCCTCTCCTGGCCGGACAGCAGAGGGGGGATTTCTCCATCTCTGAATAAATTTGGGGTCTCCTCTAAAGGCCCTGCTGTCCAGCCTGCTGCTGACCTTTGACCTCGGCAGAAAAAAAGTTATTGAGGCCTCCTGAAGCGGAGGAGAGGCTGGGAAAGTGGCCTGATGGAGGCGAAGGGCGGCTCACCGGGGTCACAGCACAGAAAGACGGGAGTTTTCAGAGGGTGGGGGGCAGAAGGGGCAGCTCTATGCCCCCCCGCCCTGCCCCTGCCCCCCAGATCCATAAGTGTGTCCCTGCAGCTATTGTGACTGAGCTACAGCAGGACAGAAGGCCTCACACTAACAATGTTTTCTGCCTTTTGTTTCTGGCCGGCCTTTCTTCTTCTGCCTCCATCGCGATGCTGCGCCTCCTTTGTATCGATTTCCCTCTTTCAGCCTCTTTCTGCCCGTTTTTATGCTCTTTCCGCGGCGCACCTCCCCCGCTGCAGCCGTCGCCCCTCTGCTGGCATCCGCCACAGTGTGAGAACCTCTTGGAGCGATGCTGCTCGTTAAAGACAACTAATTGATTGAGAATATAATTAGAGTGACAATCGGAAAAGGGAAATCAATACGCTTGAAGTCAGGAGAATCACATCAGGCAGGACAAAACGGAGCAGCGGATGTTTACATCACTGTCACCTCCAACAGAAGAGCTGAGCGCCGAGTCAACAGGGTTTTGTTGAGTCTATTAAAACTCTCATCATCCAGATGACAAACTGTTGAGTTAAGTGGCTTAACAAGCCAAACAGCTTTCTCTGAAAATGTTCCGGTTCTGGACTGGAAATGAAAGAAAACGCAGCAAAAAGATTCAAATAAACCTGAAAGATTTTCAAAAACCCTGGAAAATTAGGAACAAAAAGAAACAGTTCTGAGTTTTAAAGAAACAAATAACGAACAAAGTTAATGGTTTGTTGTATTTTCTCACACCTTGAATTTCAGAATAAACAAAACAACTACTTTCAGGAAAACTTTTACTGTTACCTTTTACTTGAGTAATTTTATTATGAAGCATTTTTACTCTCACTGGAGTAAAATTTCTGGAGTTTCTACCCACTGAATGGAGAAAAAACATGTTATAACCATAAATTCACCAGACACAGACTTTATTAAACTTTCAGAATTTCTTTATTGAAAGAAACTAATTTGGAAAAAATTATTTTGCCTAATTTTATTTTGTGTTACTTATATGAATTGTTGTCATTTCGGTTGTTAAGATATCAAAATTTCCTCATAACTTTAGATTTTGGTCCATCTGATAATTGGATCAGTTACTCAGGACTTTTACCAAATACTTTTTTACTCTTCCCTGAGTCATTTCTTGGAGTTTTTGCTTTTACTTGAGTAAAAACAAGTTGCAGTAGTGAATCTCTTATTGAGTAGTTTACTCTGCTGACTCTGACAACATGGCAGCCAGCCTCAGATCCGGGGTTCAAACTGTGGCCCCGGGGCCATTTGTGGCTGTTGGAATGATTTTGTTCACGTTTATAAAGGAAATGCAGCTAAAGACTGAAAACTGTAAGTTGTATGAACTCCTGGACCCGAGAGCAGCAGAACCTTCTGGTGCCTCACAGCCACATCATTAAGCTGCAGTTTCATTTTGAGATATGAATAGTTAAAGACACTCTTCAGTTTTATAGAAACACTTAAAGCTGAGATTTACTGGGAGTGAATTAAATTCAGGTTTGCACTCTGCAGTCTGGGGAGCCTCAGACTTTTTATTCAGTTAAAACACTTTACTGAACCCAAAGGGAAAATTAATGTAAATCAAATTATCCAAGTTTCTTCTAAGAACTGAGTGCAGGAAGGATCTCCTGTAGCAGTCTGTAATCCAACGGTGACTTCTGACTGAAGACTCTGTTGTTTGATTATAGATGCTCAGGTGGTTTCATCACAATGTTCAGTTCATTTTAGTTATATAACATCAATTCACAACAAATATCAACTTAATTTACAAACAAATCAACTCAATGATATTATAGCATCACATCAAGTCAAATAAATAGTTTTTACATGATACCCTCCTGTAAAGTTCAACTAAGTCTGGTTTAAACTGAATGTTTCTGATGTAAAGTTCGTCTGAGCCCAGAGGGCCGCGGTTTTTCCTCCTGTTACCAAATTATGTTTATTATATCAATTAGTTTCTTTATATTTGGATTGGTTTGATTTTTTCCCATGAATTTTCCCTGAGGATCTTGATGAAAACAGAAAAATATATAAATTCTCAGCATCTTGTTTTTGTTTAAAAATGGAGGAATGTTTTTGTTTTTCACCCTCTAAGGCTGAAGTGACCCAAATCTAGTTTTTGTCTTAATGTGACCTGCATCTGATATTTCATGAGTCTGAACAGGTCAGATGTTTTCCCGCTCAGAAACGTTTTCCTAAACTTGATATGTATCGGATCTTTTCAAATGTGTGGCCAGGTCGGTTTCATCAGACCTGAACGTCACCGATACTCGACAAACATCATCGTTCTGCGTCTGGATGCACAAACACCGAGCACTTCTTCTTCTTCTCTCTTTTTTATGGTGGTTGGCAGAAACACTGCGCAACGTGTGCAACGTTACTGCGCCCTCTACTGTTCATGCAAAGGACATTTTCAGGTCATTTGCAGTTCACACTGGAGATCACATACATTTGGAAATGTGAACCAAAAAAAATCTGATTTCACAAATAAATTTGAACTGAGCATGAAAGGCTGCAGTGAGAACGCAGCCTAACAACACAGACAGACTTTCTGCAGCAGAAGTCACCAAATAAGAGGAAACATCTCAGCAGTTTAATGCTTTATAAAAGCATGAGACAACGTTTTGTTCTCTTTGTTCTGAAGTTCAAACTTCATGGATTTCCTCCTCCTGTCCTCAGGCGGCCATCTTTACCGGCTGCATCAGAGGAAGTTCAGATCACAGCTGTGGAGTCCTCCTCCTTCTTCCTGTGCTGCGCTGCTCGTCTGCCCCCTGCTGGTGAGGAGGCAGACTGCGCGTCCTGCTGGGAGAGCTGGGAGATGAGCAGATCCACGCTCTGGACCAGAACCGCTTCCAGAATCTTCTGCTCCTCCGTCGTGAACCGACTCAGAACGTGGCGCTCCACGGAGGTTTTCCCGGCCGGCCGGCCGATCCCGACCCGGAGTCTGGGCATCACCTGGGGGGAAAGGTCAGCGAGAGGTCACCGCTGGTTCAGCACGGTTCAGTAAGAAAAACGTAAAACCAAGACATTTCAAGAAACATTCAAAATAACATTTTAACAAAGAAACCTTTTGTTATCAGTTTAGTTATCAATGAAAACTCAGGTTTGTTAATAAAAGAAAGATTAAATTATCTCAGTATTAAACAATCAGCAGTAATCTCTCCAACTCAACAATATTACATGTTTACATTCAAACTCATCCTACATACGTCTGAGATCATGACCTTCAACAACCTGGACTTGAGGCCTAAAATTCTGAATTTTTTTCCCCCAAAGTTTTTGACTTTTTAAAACCCTGAGACTCAAGTAAAGACTAAATTTCTCAAACATTTCTGGTCTCTGTTCCAACAGGTTCTTGTTTTTGTATAAATAGACAATTATTATAACATGAACTGGATTTCTCAGACAATGTCTTGTCCTAAATGCATGCATAGTTATTGTACATATTTGTGTATATGTGAATGCATTATGTTGTCCTCATTTGTTCCCTTTTTTACCTATTAACATGTATAAAATGCTGTATTCCTTCATATGGTTCAAAGGAAAGCATTATACTAACTCTCTGAAGAATTTGCACTTTTGTGTGTGTGTGTGTGTGTGTGTGTGTGCATGTTCGTTTCTTACATCAGTCTGGAGACAGTCGACACACGATCGCACTCCGTTGTGGCCTCTAGGTAGAAGAAGAAAACAGAGTTAAACTTTATGGTTCTCAAAGCTCAAACTGTCTCCTGGCTGGTTCCCACTGAAAGCAGAGGTCAGAGGTCAACGTGAAGGAGCAGTGGCTCCACTACGTTCTCGTTAGTTTGGACATAATGCATCCAGGTTGGAACCTACCAGAGAGGAGCAGAATCCCACCATCAGCAGTGGTTCTGGAACTCCTCTGGTTCTGGCAGAGGCCGACCCAGAGAGAGCGGTCCACATTGTTCTGGTACAGAACCACAGACTGTAATGGTTGCTCCAGAATCAACTGCTCCAGTGGGCAACAAGTGCAAATGAGCATGCAAACTCTGAAGCACAAACACAATAAGACGCTGCAGATGGAGGGAACAGAAGCTTCACTCTTCTGCATCCTGCAGGTTTTTTACCCACAAACAACAAAACAAAAACAAAAACTGTGTTGTAATGCAACTGTTAAAAAATGCTGCAACTACAGGAAACAGAAGCAAAAGGGAAAATGCTGCTAATAGCAAAAGCAAAAGTATAAGAGCTGCAAATTCACTCCACAAAGCAGAAGTCCTCCAGACCACTAGGGGGAGTTGACCACCAAATCATATGGGACCAGACCCTCAAAGAAAGATGGGATCTCCACAAAAAAGTTGAAGAAAATGCGTTATATTTTTACCACATTATAGAACAACAGCATATTTACGTATTTAATAGTTTGCAGCACTTTAGTCTTTGTGTCTTTTGCAGCATTTTCCCCTTTGCTTCTGTTTCATGCAGTGGCAGCATCTTTGCAGCAGTGGCAGCATTTTATTTTTGCATTTGTTTTGTTGATTGTAGGTTTTTGCTTCTATTTTCTGTGTTTGCAGCATGTTTCTGCTGCATTCGTTCTTTGTGTTAGTGTGTTTCAGAGTTTGCATCATTCCTGTCTTTGCTGTGCCTTTGCATCAGTCAGCCACATATGAAGACACTAAACCCTGAGGTCTTCAAACCAAACACTCTTTTCTCCATGACGATACTTTGAGATGCTGTCCTTGAAGACCACAAACAGCTCCTACCTGCCCCCTGCTGGCCATCCGAAGAATACAGGTAAAATGTTGCTTACCTCTTTCAGATTTTAAGTTTTTGTATATTTTCTGAGCAGCTGGTCGCCTCCACACATGTGTTTAAAAACCCAACACCAACAAACACTTCCTGCTTCATTCAACAGTTACTGTTCCAGGTCATATAACCCACCTGGCGCTTCCTCCATGTTTGATGGCGATTTTCCCCAAGGGTTTGTCCAGCTCATCGTGGACCAGCAGGATGTCTTCAGGCTTAACTCCGTATTTTCCAGCTGTAAAAGAGGGTCAATAAAATTATGTCAAAGTGACTTTATGTGTTTCTGGTTTCATTCAGAAAAAACACAGCTGAAATAAGATGAATAAAAATGAATAATCTTCTAGTAACAGAAACATGAAAGTTGATGTGATTCTTCTAGAAGAACTAATCAGATGTTCTGGTTCTCAGAGGCTAATCTCATCATAATCTGGAGTGGGATTAAACCTCTGAGAAACTAAAGTCAGCTGATGTTTAAAGATGAAATAATAAAACCATGATTGTTGAGTCAAACAGAACCTTAAACAACAAACAGGTCCTGAATGAGCCCATTGACCGGGCCGCCCATGACCTCACCCGCTCTGGCCACCGACACCCCGTTGACGTTCATCAGCAGCCGGGGACGGAGCAGAACCACGCGGGCCTGCTGGACCTCCGTCAGGATGACCTCACCGGATACATGACGGTCGCCGTGCCAACGATCGGCCACACCGAGCCGGGCAGCCAGCGCTCCCAGCACCGCCATCCCCACGCTGTGTCTGGTACCCTCCATCCCCGGGTTCCCGAGCCCCACCACCTGACACACACACACACACACACACACACACACACACACACACACACACACACTTGTGGTTTAGGAGACCATTATGACTTTTGGGGTGTTTATGGGGACACACCTTTCCCTTCATCAGGTGAACACAAACACAAATACACAGAGATGGAGAAACTGATCTGAACTCTGATCCAATCAGGTTGTAGGTGATTATTGATCAGTTATGCAATAATCACCTAAAAACTGAAACTGTGATTGTTTTGTTTGGTCTTTATTTCTTGTGGATTGAATCAAATAAATATTTTTGCTATATGTGAACAGAAGTATTTCCTATGTAAACATTGTTTTAATAATAATACAATCCAAGACCGTGGTTCGGCCTCTCAATTAAACAGTGTTACTGGTAGTGGTGGGAATTTTTTACCATCTCCTGATTCAATTCAATTTGGATATTTGGGTGCAGGATATGATTCAAAAATCATCTTTGATTCAAAACAATTAGAAGAACTGATTTATCTGATTAATCAAGGTGAATGATTATTGAAATAATTGTCAAATAATTTTGTATTTGATTAGTCATTAAGTGGAGAATACAAAATTAAAAAAGGTTAACTGCTGAAAGAAAGAAAAAAAAACATTAGAAGAGTAAATAACCAAAATGGCACATAAATACAATTTGCAGAAGTAGAAAGGGCTGAGAGCAGATTATGGATGGGTGTTTATAAAATCAAAAGAAATGTTCTATTTTCCATAAGAAAAATGAAAACTTTTTATTCCACTAGATACAGAAATTGCTTTTAACACATTTTTACAATAAAACATGTTGTGTGATGGTTTTCTACATTTATAAAAATCCAAAACTATAAATATTAATTGTAGTTGAGCTTAAAAAGATGGAGAGTTTCTGTGAACATTAATTTTCAAGTCTTCAACAGATTTTCAATGACTGGGCCATTCTAACATATATATTTATGTTTTGATCCAAGTTTAGGGTTGTTGCCCTGCTGGCAGATGAACCTCCTCTCAGTCTCAAGTCTTCAGAGTCCAACAGGTTTTCCTCCTGGGTTGCCCTTATTTAGCTCCACCCATCTTCCCATCAACTGACCTGCTCCTCTATCCCTGCTAAAGAGAAACACCCCCACAGCATGATGCTGTCAACTTCGTGTTGAATGCTAGGGACTGTGTGCTCATGGGGATATGCAGTATTCGTTTTATAGCACCTAATACATTCATATTTTGGTCTCTTATCAGCGTCACATGCTGCTTGTTCGGGTAATCGGAAACGGCTAACGTGAATACCGAACAAAAATGAGTTACTAAAGGACATAAACCTACGCCGAACAGTTAACGTCGCATAAATGTGTAGGAATTTTGTGTTTATTTCAAGGGATCTTATACATAACTTGAAGAAAACCTCCAAAAACCATTCATTTGCTGATTCTTGAATGATGTTTCGTTAGACCGGCTGGTTACGGTCATCGGAACAACAACTCATTTAAATAGCAGCTAATTTACACCGTTTCAGAGTGAATATATTCTGAACAGAGGATGAGGGACTAAACTCACCAACTTTCTCCGACCCTCTGTGTGAATCTCCGCTTCAGCTCCTACCATCGTTGCTTTAAACTGCTTTCCCAGCAAAACTCGGTTTATGACTCTCGTTAAAAGTCTTCTCATCGTTACAAAGTTCAGCAGTTTCTTAAAGAAGTGGGATAAAATCGGACAGACTTTAGTCAAAAACGAACGGTTTTTCATTCGGCTCTGATGTTCAAGCGATCCGTCTGTCAGTTCATGAGGTAACGTAACAGGAATGAAACATCCTGAGCAGATGTACCTACGTTCACAACATCCTCAGAAAACTGCGAAAGGTCCAATTAAATCATTATTTTTTAAAACAAAACCCCTCTTTAAATATTGTCTCAATCATTCATGACCTTTTACTCAAACTAGTCAAGGAGAAGAAGACAAGACTACGTAATGAATGTTTTTGTTTTGTGTGTGTGGAGCTTCAGCGCCATCTAGCGTCGCGGCAGACAACATGCATTTCCTCCTTATATTGGGCAGATGGAGAATGTGGGCCAAAGGTGATACAGTACATTCCAATGAATAAAGAAATAAAGTATCAAATGAATGTTTTATATGTGCTAATTACGTGAAAATAATGCATATCAGATATCTAAATGTTTGGAATCAACTACGCAATTGTTTAAAGTATTTAATTTCCCTTTGGCATCAATGAAATATTTTTTTTTAATTAACTGGTATACAAGGACATAATTTCAGGACAACTGCATTAACACGAGAAACTATCTTGTTAAAACGAGAAACTTTTATATCTTGTACAAACCAAAAATTACTTTGAGATACTATTTTGTTTATGTGTTTTAAAAAAAAAAAAAACACATAAATACTGAAATAATTAATGTCCACATATAAATCTAATCTAATCATGTGTGATAAATTTATATTAATCACATTTACCATATGTAATAAATTTGTCACATGTGAAAATTATAAATTTACATTTTAGTGATTTCCAGATTTCTGTATTTATTGAATATATATATAAATTAACATTTAAGTATAGATATATGTCTTTGAATTCACATATACATTTCTAATACTAATCAAATGATCACATATGTCAATATTTATTTAATCACAGCCATCATCTGCTAAATCTGACTGGGATTTGTCCCAATCTCCTCTAAACAGAAGCACACAGGCAGGTTTCCTGCTGCAGAGGCTATTAATATTTTATGGTTGAAGTGTTTAAATTGGTATGCAGAGGTCAATTTAAGTTGTCATGCTCTGAAGAAACTCAATTTAACACATTTAAATAAACTCTATAAACAGTATTGAAGCATGATTTAATTGAGCTGATTGGTTAAAAATGACTTTGATGTGATCTAAAATGTCAGAAACAGCTGGTATTACTACAATATGATCAAATATGAATTATTGAAAGATCAGTGAATGCTTTAACTATCCAGCAGATGGAGCAAAACATCAGATAAAAACATGATGTCTGTCTGTTTTATGTGACCTTTCTGGTAAAGAGTTTAGACGGAGGTCAGAAAGTCTTCACTTGGTGACACGGAGTCTTCATAGACTCTGTGCCTGTGGAGCTCACAGTGAAACCGAACCACTCCTGCAGTGTCCGGATGGAGGGGAGGAAGGTCAAAGCCGACATTCCCTACACGGCTCGGCTGAGCAGAACCGACCGGAACGGGGAGACCCAGTGGACGTCCGTCTCTGGGACGTACGACGGAGTCCAGATCGGAGAAGTGCGGCCCGTGGTGGAGCGCTGTGAACCCGTGGCTGATGCCAAGCTCTGTCCCTGAAAGGCTGGAGAAGGTGCACTGCAAAAAAACAAATCTTACCAAGTTATTTTTATCTAGTTTCTAGTGAATAATATCTTAGTAAACTTGAAATAACACAAAACCAATGTTATAACTATAAATATGTGCCAGTGAAACTAGAACTTTTTGTTTATTGATTACAAAACAAGGTCCTATAACTTGATGGAAAGTTACTTTTAAATTAGTTTTCACTTATTTCAAGGGTAATAAAATATTTGCCTAGAAACCAAAAACACATTTTATTCAATGTGTCTGTAAATGTCATGATTTACAGTGAAAAGCCTGATGAGTGCATGTTGTTGTTGTTTGGCTGAATAAAGAAGTGAATCTTGTGTGGGTTGATTTCTGAAAATGGCTTTTAAGGTCAGAAATCCATTTAACGTTTGAGCTTTTATAGTTTCCTAGATGCAGAGCCCAGAAGCCCAGAAGACACATTTGGATCTAGACGACTTTTCAACTCGTGTTCTGACCCAGAAATGGAGTTAGACCAGAGGAAACTTAGCAACCCAACAGGAGCATCTAGTTTACATCCTTTAGATCAACATTAGATTGTTCTTCTCTTTTCTTTTTGCTCTTTGGTTTGTTATTTTGTTTGTATTTCCTTTTAATCCCTGTAAAGCACCTTGTATTGCCTTGATGCTGAAAATGTGCTATATAAGTAAAATGACCTTTACCTAACTGTGGCCCAGCACTGGACGGTGAATGTAACTCTCTGTTCCATTTGTATGACATGTACGGCTTGTAGCATTTGATCAATTTTCAGCAATAAGGCCTGATTTTATATATAAACCAATTTCATTATTTCTCAAGGTAATTTACACTCAGTGGTTCTGGTCGGGTCCTGAAACTGGTTAACGGACCTGGTGGAGCACAGAGATGGAAACGAAAGATTTCCAACATGACTTTCATCACATGCCACATCTGCAGTTTCTTTCTCTCGGTGTCCTTCCTTTCACTCTCTGTAACTTTGCTGCTGTCGCCCTGAAATTCCCTCCCTGTGGGGCAATAAAGAACATTTCTATTATTCTGTTCTCTATTCTATGAATCCTGCCGGAACCACAAACCAATCATGTGTCTGCAGAAGTCGGGTCTTTATTTGGTGCTGCATGTATTGAATTAAACTCTGATAGGCTCCTTGGAAACGTCCTCCTTCATGATCGGGGTATTAAATGTCGTGCAGGTTGAGATTAATCAACTTCTACCTGAAACGAACCTGAAGATTCAACTGGAACAAAGAAAACCTGAGAAATCTGGTGAGAAAATGTTTGCTCACCTTAAACAGGCAGCATGTTTACTTCCAAATAAACAGTCTAAAAATAATATTATTTTAGACTAGATCTGGTATTACATAGAATAAATATTCAGTTAGCTTTGGTCATTAACTGGTTGGTTAATTTGCCATGTTTAGATGATGGGAACTAAAACTGACTTGTCTGTTATTCTGCAGCTGCTGTTCTCTCACCGCTGTGAAGAAGAACTCAACCGACAGAAATGGTAAAATAAAACATGTTTCTGTTTTTAAATATTCAATTGGCTTAAAGGGATTTACATTTCACCAGACATGATGGGAGTTAGAGTAGTCAGTATCTTACCTGCTGCTGACAGTTTCAAAGCGAGCAAAAACAAGTTTTTCTTGGACGAGTTGAACTAAAACCAAAACTAATTTAACACAGCAGTGCTTTGTATCACTTTTATTATTAGTTCAATAAATGTCTTGGAGTTTTTTACACTGAAGGCTGGTAATGTTTGGAAAAGGTTCCCAGGCCGTTGCATCATTTTGTTGTGAAACCTGTGTTGCAAAACAAACCATTTTTGTTTAAAAAAAAAAGAAAGCAAAGTTGCTGACAAATTATGTTTCAGTTCAGCAAAAAGAAAATATTTTAATCATGACAAAAAAATGAATTCATATATGGAATAGAAAACGTATTTTTAGAAACTATTGTTAACTTTTTGTTAAATTTGTACAACAAATAAAATGAAGTGAATTTTGAACAATTAATTTTTGGGGGAAAGTCTCTGCAGGGATTCACTCTCATCCAAACAGATTGTTGTGTTAAAGTTTTGCTTTGTTCAGGGCCACATTCGCTCTGCCAAGGCCCGTTCTGATCACTGCGCTCTTTATTATGCTTACAACAAATAAACTGACTTTTGAAAGTCAAAACTTATAAAATTTCACCAAACTTGGCAGATAAAATTTACAATATTTAAGGTTCTCACAAAAATCCCAACAGACTCAGATGCTTCGCCCTGCTTATGACATAAGATTGAAACTGTATCCACTAACTCTTCATAACAACACATGACATGTCAAGCTCTACAGGAAGTCCCCCCCAACCTTCGCCACAAAACAGGAAGTGACAATAACTTCAGTCTGTAAGGTCAGACTTCAGCCAAGTTCTTAATAATTACTGCTGGACTCGTACTGATCTGGACTGAAGGCTATTTGGAATATTCACCAAATGCGCTGCCTGGTGGGCAGGTGTGGGAACTGCACAGGAGCGTTGACGCCTGTGACGAGGCGGCGGTGCCGGAGTTAAGGCTCTTGCAGTCACCATGAGGCCAGACCGGCGCTGAGCTGCGAAGGCCTAACAGGCTGCTTGCAGCTTTAGTTGTGATTATAATAACTTTGATTTGTGTTTTTAGCTGCCGTTGCTGTTGCTACTGGTTCTCTCCTCAGCCAGTCCTCAGGACCAGCCACCAGATGAAAGTGGTAGGAGGGGAAATGGTACGTTGAGCTCTTTGAACCCTTAAAATACAAGTTTTTTTTATATAAATATATATAAAAAATAACACGTTTCTGTGATGATGTTGTGAGTCAGTATGTTACCTCGAGTCAAGAGGAGAAGTTTGCATCACCGAGCTGAGCTTTAAGCTTGAAAGCATTAATAATCAAATATTTGTTGCAAAAATTAAATTGTCGAACGTCTTTAGAGCCAGCAGTGAAAAGCATGACTACTCTTTTTGTTTTACAGTCTCCTCCCTGAACCTCAATCCAGCGCATGATGTTGCTAAAATCGAAGCTAACGTGTCCGTCTCAATGGTCCGACGTGTTCTGGCTTCTATTGCACTCAAACACAAACGTCCAGTAAACGTGACGCTGCCAGAGGTTGGTGATACAGGAAAACTGCGATGGGAAAAATGGAACGGTTCCCTTCCTAATGGATCTGTTTCCATTTACAACAGCTACGCTGATCGCATCGACTACATCTGCAAAGTCGGATGCAATTCTGGTTTTTACAACCCCAGAATGGGCCCTTACTGTCACTACCCAGATAAGAACAAAGAGAATCTTTCCTCCTCTTTTCAAATCCTTGTGAATGAAGATAATTTTGAAATTGTGGTGTGGAAGGAAGGTTCTTATGGTTCTGTCCCAAAGAATTCAATCAGAACCTGCTCCAGTGAAGAAATGTATGTAGGGAAGAACGAGTACGGATTGGGGAAGGTTGACCTGAAAGATCAATGTTTTTATCTTCCCTGGAAGGGAAGTCAGTATTGGTACAGGAGCTATGAGGTTCTGACCCAAGTGAAGGCTGAAGAAGATCTCATCTCTGATGTCAGTTATTTCATAAACAAAGCTATAATCATCAAAGGGCTTCCCACAACCCTCCAAAGCTCCACTACTGTCAACCATGCCCTCAGTCCTGTGATACAAACAGTTTCTCTGACTAAGACGACCACAGATGAGAGACGGTGGGACATCAGCTCCTCCGTCACATTCGGTGTAAGAACGACCATCAGTACAGGAATTCCCTTCATTTTGAGTGGAAATATTGAAATCAGTGCAGAGACGACTCATACATTCTCAGGTGGACATACCTGGACAGAGCAGATCTCTCACTCTGTGACGTTACAGCTTACCGTACCACCAAACCACAGCTGCACTGTAAAGATGGTTGGTTATCAGTACAAAATGGAGATTCCCTTCACCGCCCGCCTGAAGCGAACCTATGAAGACGGAGAGACCAGATCAGTCATCATCTCTGGAACGTATCATGGAGTCCAAGTTGGAGAAATCAGGGTCGAGGTGGAACCTTGCCAACCTCTGTCCAACTCAGAACGCTCTTCCAAAACGACATAGGATATTTGAAGTGTTGAAAAACTCCTAAAGTACAGCTGGCAAGGCTTTACCAGGCATTTGATTTAGAGCTTCAGCTTCATTTATGCTTTTTAATCCATAATGTTTACAGATTTAATTAGTTGGGGTGTAACAGTGTATAATAATAATATTTATTGTCATTATAGAAACCATGCAATAAAGTTACATGGTTTATAACGAAATTGGGTGATTTAGTCGGACAGACTGTTTCCGTTGCAGGCCTTTTGATTTATCAGATGTGCCTCTGTTGTTCTGTATATATGTTTTAAAAAGTACTAGCAAAGTACTAGTGATACACAGAACTTATTTACTCACCTAAACCACCGAAGCTGTCAAATTATCAACATAGTGAGCTGAATCTTAAATGTACACATAATATATAAAAGAAAAAGCAACAGTGTTTTGCGGCTAATGGTCAACGCAGCCCAGTAGAAAGTTTGAATTATAACAATAATGGACAGGGAAGTAGGTCAGCTATGCTAGCTTGACTTTGAGAATCTTAACATGTAGACGTGCTGCAGAATCCGGTTCATTGAATGGTAATACTCTGGTAACGGATCTCTGTGCAGCGTCAAGTCAGCAGTAGTTTTGATTTTTTTCTTCTCTCGTTTTTCTGCATTATTTTTCCCTTTTCTGCGGCGCTCTGCGCTACATTAATAATACCTACATCTTCGAGTTTCATTCTGTTAAGTGAATTATTTTACAGTGGCAGCGTGGCTATAGATGGCAAGAAGAGTCTTTTATAAACCCTCAAAACATCTCCAAACTTTTAAAATCTGATTTGGGAAAAGTTCTCAAAATCTTCCTCAACAACAATTTCAACCATTTCCCAAGTTTTATTATTGTTTAATGCTTATATTAAATGATAGAATCAAACTTAGTCAGTTATATAGCATCCAGCTTTTAAAAAACGGTAGAATAAATAAAACCAAACATTATTGACAAGGAATCTTAACATCTGTTTGCCACTACAGAGTAATTTTTTTTTCCAGATATTTTATTTAAATATATTAAAAACATATTGAACTGTGATGTTAAAACTGAGATACTCACTGAACCATGGTTTATATTTGCAGTTACACCCCTACTACTTTGCTATTTTATTACCACGACATGCAAGTTAATAAATATTGAAATTATTATGACAAGGGAAAAGACTATATTTCTAAAGATATCATCCAAAAAAAACTATAATCATTACTCAAAGGAGTGACCTTTTTATGAAATTCAGAGAAAAATATTTTTGTTAATCTTCTAATTTAAAGCTGATTGAATCCAGAAACAAATAGTTTTATCAATGTATCATGTGACCTATGCAATTTCTTTGGCATTAATAAAGCTTATAAGGATGGAAAATAAAATTGGATCTGTACCAAACCAGCATGAACTCCTCTCTCTTAATTTGTTGTATAAAATTACAAGTTTCAAAATGAGGCCTCTGTTTCATGTCAGTACAAACCTCATTATTCACTTTTTATGAAAGAAAACAAAGCATTAGATTTTACAACAGTGATCATTTTAACTATTGACTTAATTTATAAACTATTTTTTTCAGAGTTTGAACAGATAAAACAGAATTAGACTGAAATGATCTCATTTCTCAGTTGGTTTGATCTGGTCTGTTATGGATGAACAGACCTGTTGAACAGGAACCACTGCAGCGATTTAAGAGCTGCTGTAAACTAATCCATGTTCCTGGTGCTGGTCAGGACTCAAACAGCAGCAGCTGCTGCTTAACCTGGTGAAAATAACATCCTGCAGCAGTTTGTCTGTGTCCTGATGAAACAGAAAACTGTTTATTCTAGGAATGTGTTTAAGGTAACAGCTGCTGAATTATTGAAAAACTTTATTTGGTTGATAAAGTTCAGGTTGGAAAACATGATAGAATTTAGATAGAAACAAGAACTTCTGCCTTTTCTGTATTAAACTGAAAAGGCAGAAGTAACCAATCTGATATTTTGGACAAACCAGCTGAGGGACTGTAGTTGAATATGATCAATGTTTTTTGTTATCAGTCTGATATTCTGAACTAAAGGGATCATAAAGATATTGAATAAAAATGGCCCAAGAATACAGCCTTGAGGTGCATGTGGCCTGTTTACTCTAATTCATTGCTACCAGAGTGGTCATAGTGCAGCACATCAAGCTAATGTCGCAGATATCGCCTAATTGCAGAGTTGACCAACAACATGTTTTAGCCAAACAAGTACAAAGCAACCTTTATTTTAAATCGGAGTTTATTAAACTGTTGTGCAGCATTAATGTTTGTTTTGTTTATATTTATCCATTTGGGGGAGGAGACTTAATCCAAGAACAGAACCTGATTGGCCAGAAGCTTCTGCAAATTCCCTGAGATGTTTTCCTGATGGGTGTAACTCCATCACTGACATGTTTTCCTCAGAATAATTCCTCAATCAGGCCTAAAATTGAAATTAAAAGAGGAGATCTATAAAAAGCATTGCAGTAAGTTAAGTTGTGTTTTGCAGTTACATAAAGATTAATATTTTATTTATGTCATGTGATAGGCCAAGTGTTTTATTTCATTTCATCTACAGGTTCTACTTTTAAATTTAGAAATGCAAAGTCTGAGATAAAGGACCTAAAATATGTTTAATACGATGCAGTGCTTCATGATTCTGTTTTAATAAGTTAAAGTATTTTTTTAATGCTTGGTTCCAGATAAATTTTAATAGTTAAAATGGATGTGAACTGACTTCACACCTCATGTTTTCTTTCATGCCTGCTGCCCAGACGCCTCATGATGTTCATGCTGTTTGTGATAATATAAGAGCTGTTGCTCAGACTCAGTAAAGAGCTTCATGATACTGATCACCAACACGTTTAGAGAAAAATGGGGAAGCTCCAGAGAACATCACAGCTTAGTGGTATGGATGTGGCAGCATAATGCTGAGGGGTGTTTTGTTGCATGAGAAGACTATTGCATCTAATAAATTAGCATCAGAAGGAAAGACGTTTATATGGAAATGTTGGAGCAACACCTGAAGACGGGAGGTTGAAAAACGGCAGAGATGTTTTTTTCAAGCAGATAATGATTCAAAGCATACCACTAAATTAGATAAAGGGTGGCTTAAGGGCAAAAAAGTGAATATTTTGAAGTGCCTGTCATAAAAAATCCTCGTCTCAGTCCAATAGAAATCATGAGTGGAGCTAAAATGATGTGTGTGAGCCTACAAACCATGTTTGACCAAATTCACACAGTTTGGAGGAAATTCTACTGAATCCAACATGAAATGTAAACTTATGAATTTGAGGAATATTTAGAAAACCTTAAAACTGGACAAGTTTAGTCCGATTTAATGTTTCATAGTGAGATAAAGGTGATGAGATCATGAAATTATCTGCTTCAATATTCACATAAAATGCAGAATAATTACTGTAAGAACTTGGAGGGAACTGGTGACGACCAACAACCAATCCTGTGGGTCTGCACAAGTCGTGTCTTTATTTGGTGGTGTGTGAGTTGAATTAAGCTCTGATAGGCTCTTTAGAAAAATCCTCCTTCAGATAATCAGATATTAAAGAAGCAGCAGGATGAGATGAAACCATTTCTACATCTAAACTCTGAGGTTGATTTCACCGACTGAACAAACCAAGACCTGAGAACTCTCCACCTGATCAGTCGTCTAAATCAGGTAAGATGTTCACCTTCTTAACTCTCAAATAACACATTGGTCCATCATTATGATTTTAAACTGGATCTGGTCTTAGATAAAACAAATATCCATCTAGGTTTGGTCAATAACTGGTGGATTAATTTGGTAATATTTTAGTAACTGAAACTGGTTTGTCTGTTATTTACAGCTGCCTCTGCTGCCGTCCCTCCACTGTGAAGAAGAACTCAGCCAACAGAAATGGTAAAATAAACTAACAGCCAGGGGTCCTTTTACCCAGAAAATTTAAATAAAAATTAAATTAAATAATAAAATAATAGCTAAATAAGTTTTCAACATTTAAAAACAACCAGATATGCATTAGGTTCACTCATTAAAAATCTAGAATTATTTTTTTACGATTTGAAAATTAGAAAATCCAAAGAAGACAAAATCAGACTTTAGAGCCACAAAATATAATTTACAAAAAAAATTATGCAGCTGTTTATTCTTGTTAGTGATTTGCAGTATTTGTTATCTGGTAGCATTAAATTCATTTCTTCATAAGATGACAGAGACCAAATCAGTTTTTAATAACATTTATATTTCTTATCCGTGAATGTTTCCTGTCAGATTAACTCAGAAAATGACAGTTTTCATAACTTTTTATCAAAACACATTTGAGTTTCTCAATAATTTGTTCTCTGCTGCTCTGTCACAGTCCAGCTTTTTCTACCAACGTAATTTCAGCATTGTACATCCAAACCACTTAGTGGGTTTTTAACCACTAAGTGAAAAATTACATCCACTCTTAATGGTGCAAAACTCGGTCATGTGTAGAGCTAAAAACACATAAATATATAAATTAAAATTTTTATTTTCCATCATTTTGACTGACGGCGTCAAAAAATATCTGGTCATAATTTTCCCCATATATTTTTAAGTTAAAATAAAATGTTGTAATAATGACATTTAATTTTTATTTGCTTTAATCAATTTTCAACCAGCTGAACAGAGAATCCACATCGTGCCATCACACATCAAGCAGATGAATGAATGTAACTTTTTCTCCACAGTGATCAAATCCAGACTGTGGCTCCATAGCTACGTGTGAATTTATTGCATTTAATATCCTGAAATACTCTGTGAGCATGTCTCCTGTATGGAAAGAGAGAAATTCATGCATTTTTGAGGAACTAATGTTTGAAGCGCCTGCAAGTTCCTTATTTTAATGCAGCATGTTAATTTTAATAGAAGTGCAAAAATAACTCCACCCTGTTTATTTATGTATATTTTTGTCCAAACAGTTCATTGAGTTAAGATGCTGTTTTCTTCAGGTCACATTTTATCCTGATTATAACTGATAACTGATTTCTGCTCCTTTCAGCTGCCGTTGCTGTTGCTGCTGGTTCTGTCCTCAGCCAGTCCTCCGGACCCGGACTGGAACCGGCCGCCGGATGAAAACGGTAAGATGGTTGAGTCCTCCTGAGAATTAATGTTTGATTTTTGGAGTGGTGATGTTGGAGTTAGCATGTCACCTCTAGCAAAGAAACAGCAAAGAACTTCATTCCACTTAGGATTAAACAGCCAAATGAGGCAAAAACTCAAGAAGCAAAGATAAAAAATGAATCCTCTTTTTCTTCACAGCCTCCTCTGTGAAACCAGATCCTGCGGATGATGTTGCTGAAATCAAAGCTAAGTTGTACTTCTCAACAGTCCGACGTGTTCTGCCTTCTGCTCCGCTCAGACAGAAAAGCCCAGTAAATGTGACGCTCTCAGAGGTCGGTAGTACAGGAAAACTGCGATGGGAAAAATGGAACGGTTCCCCTCCTAATGGAGCCGTTTCCATTCATAACAGCTACGCTGATCGCATCGACTACGTCTGCAAAGTCGGATGTCATTCTGGTTTTTACAACCCCAGCATGGGTTCTTACTGCCACTATCCAAATAAAAAAGAAGAGCATCGTTCCTCCAGCTTTCAAATCCTTGTGAATGAAGATAATGTTGAGATCCTGGAGTGGAAGGAAGGTTCTTATGGTTCTGTCCCAAAGAATTCAGTCAGAACCTGCTCCAGTGAGGAAATGTATGTAGGGAAGAACGAGTACGGATTGGGGAAGGTTGATCCAAAGGATCAATGTTTTTATCTTCCCTGGAAAGGGAAGCAGTATTGGTACAGGAGCTATGAGGTTCTGACCCAAGTGAAGGCTGAAGAAGATTTAATCTCTGATGTCAAGTATAACATCAAACATGATAAAATTTTCAAAGAACCTCCAAAAACCTTGAGAAGCTCATTTGTTAAAAACCTTTCCCACATGAATGTGACGAAGACGGTTTCTCTGACGCAGACCACCACCGATCAGAGACGGTGGGACTGCAGCCATGCCTTCACAGTCGGTATAAGAACAACCATGAAAACAGGAATTCCCGGCATTGTGGAAGGACATGTTGAAATCAATGCAGAGACGACTCATACGTTCTCACGTGGAAATACCTGGACAGAGCAGGTCTCCCATACTGTGTCGTTACAGCTTACTGTACCACCAAACCACAGCTGCAAAGTAAAGATAGTTGGTTATCAGTACAGGATGGACATTCCCTTCACCGCCCGCCTGAAGCGAACCTATGAAGACGGAGAGACCAGATCAGCCATCGTCTCTGGAACGTATCATGGAGTCCAAGTTGGAGAAATCAGGGCTGAGGTGGAAAAATGTAAACCTTTGTCTAACTCGAAACGCTTTTTTAAAATTTTGGATATTTGGAGTGAAAACCTCCTGAAGTAAAGTTATCATGACTTTACCAGGCTTTTCATGTAGAGCTTCAGCTTCATTTATGCTTTTTTATTCATATCCTTTGAATCTGTAACCATGCGATTACTCAAAGGAATGGCTTTTATGTAATTCTGATAAAAACCCAAAACATTTTTATGAACCATCTGCTCATTTAAAGTTAATCTAGAAACAGACAAACGTTAAAGTTTATGAATGAGCCCTCTGAGCTGTTCTATGCAATTTCTTTGGCATCAATAAAGCTAATAAGCAGTGAAAATTAATTTGGTGTTTTAATTATTTATCAATTATAACATGAACTCATTTTCAAAATCAGATTGTTTCAAAATGAGATTTGTCCATTTTCATAATTATTGTTTTTAAAACTGTATTGACTGTTGGTTTGGTTTGTGTTTATCATGCTTATTTTTCAGAGGCTTAAACAGATCAGAGAGCAGACAGAGAACATTTATCAAAGGACATTTATACCTTAAAGTTAACTTTGTTTTCTCAGAAGAGAGTCAAAATAGTTTTAAATGTTTCCATTTCATATTTTGATGGCTCAGTTTTCCCACAAGGAGAAGGTATTCCTGAGGCATTTAGAAAAGGCCTAGAGTCTGTTTGCTGTGTGTTTGTTGATGGATCCAAATGTAGCAGGCTGAGATGTCAAGTAGCATTGAAGATTTAATGAAAGAAAAATGATTATTTTTAAAAAACTTACAAGAATCTCAGAGAACCAAGGGAGCCAGAGAAGAACAAAACCATAAATCCAAGGAGAGAAACGGCAGGGATTCAACGAGGAGAGAACGGGAGGAACCGGCGAGGAGCGAGAGGAGAAAAGATGCACAAGTACCGGGAGGCTGAACGCAGGAAGGAGTTAGCTGGTTGGCTAACTGGTTAACCGTGGTTAACCCTTTCAGGGTTGGAGGGGAGAGAGGGAAAGAGAGGTACAGGGGCGAGGAAATGAGTCTAACACTAAAGAAACACTAAAACATAATTAAATTAGAGTAAACTAGACATGAGAAATAAACTAGAATCACTAAGAACTAAACCAAAGAAAAACAGAAACAAAACTGATTTAATAAAAATAAAAAGACAAAAATAATTAAACTAGAATCAAATCAAACTCCAAAACAACCAAAGACCCTTTAACAGAGTTTATATTGAGCCTAAAATATCCAACATGACCTGGCATTAAAACTCATCTCTAATAAAACATTTTATAAGGAGGTTGATGCAGACTTTCCCCAAAAACTGGGTAAAAAATTTACTTTTTTTCAGTTGTAGTGGTAAAAATTATATTTACAAAAAAAGTTAAAAATGATGAATTAAAAGCATCATTTTATGCTTTCTTGGATTCGGTTTGCTGTACCAAACGTTTGCAGCTGATGATGATATTGGGTATGAAATTATTCTCTCAACCTCATTCTGCCTGATCATTTTTAAACTTTTAATTTATTCAGCACATTTTGATAAACAGATTTCCATCAGAAAATGCAGTAAAAACGTTATCTGATGATCATTTCCTCAGTTTCACAGCAGGGGGCAGCAACATGATTTCTACTCAAACTGGTTGTTTAGTGTTAAACTTCAGAGTGTGAAGAACTAAACAACACACACACACACACACACACACACACACACACACACACTTTTTACTCATCAAACTGCAGTGATCAGCTCCGCAGCATTTATGCCTTTAAGGATTTAATTACTTTTTTCACAGTGTTCTTCTTTGTTCAAGCACAATATTGAGTTTTAATTTTCTGTAAGATTGAAAAATCATAAACACAAGAAATAAATTCTTGGAATCTATGACTATGTCTGATGATTCTATGTGATATGAATTTTACTTACTGAGATATAACACTTCTCTGTAGTGTTTTAATTTCTGAGATGTGCTAGTGTCCTATGTTCTAAAAACAGTTACATTCCCAGGAGAAAATGAAAATTATTCCTGCAGACATGAATCCCTCATATATGTAGTCAATTTATTAATGAGACCAGCACTAATGAGGACAAATGAACATGTATATATTTTTATGTTACATTTAATCGGCATGCATCTGCTAGCAGGCAACAGCCTGTGATGGTGATGAAGACGGTGATTTGGGTCAACATGGACCCTCTAGCCGTCCTCGTTCCTCTGGTTCTGCAGAGTTGGAGGAGATCCACCAGACTTCCTTTCATTTTACTACACATCCTTACAATCTGTTCAGTCTGTGTTTATTTTTCAGCAAATGTTAAAACTGACTCAATAAAACAAGAGGAAAACATTTTCACATTGTCACATTGAAACTCCTTAATACAAATGCTGGTGGGCCTTAGCACAGACTGCATCTGTTATTAACCCCAAAGCGGTTGTTGATAACTGTCCCAACAGCCTGACCATGATCAAACCTGGTCAGGCAGAGACTTCTTCCTAAAATCAATTAACATCTCTTTGGTTTCAGACATTAGTGTCCAGAAATGAGCGCTCACTCAGTCAAGAAAACCCTTCACCACAGAGCGAAGACACATTCCTGGTCATCAAGCAAAGACACAATTAGAGTCATCAGCAAACTTTATAACGTGTCTGCCTTAGTTTGACTCAATAGGAGATAAACTGAATAAAAGTGGTGACATTATTTGTTTGTACTTTAACAATGTCAGAAGGTAGATATCGATCTTGAGGTTTTTTTTAGTCTTGCAGAAACGAGCTGAACAAGAACAAAGCAACCACAACCTTAAACGGTATTTAAAATGTACTTCATTATACTTCTGTGAAGTATTACATTGTTTTTTACTACATTCAGGCAACAGGAGTGGATCCAGAGACAGAACCTCACACTCCGCCAATCCTACGGGACGTTTTCCTGATTAATTACATATTTTATGCAGTTTTTTAAATAATCTCCTAAAAGTAAAAGCCAGTAGCTTAAGCAATGTTTCTCATTTATTTTATGTGGTAGATTGAGCCACAGGTCTTAGTTCCCCAGTTAAGTTTTATGAAATAAGAATTCAGAAATGCAAAGTTTGAATAAGATAACGGACGTTTATTACAACAAACTGCTTTATTATTCTGATTTGATAACTTCAAATATTAAAAGGTTGTTTGCTTTCAGATAAACTTTAGTATGTAACCATGACGATGACAGCTGACTTCACAACTCATGTTTTCTTTCACACTTTCTGCTCAGCAACTTCATGCAGTTTGTGATAATATATGATCTGCTAAATCAATAACATAAGAAATAACAAAAAGAAGAGTTTAATGATACGGATCATCATAAGGTTTGGTCAAGAACGCAGGAAGTTTGTGATTCTGTTGACAACATTGTGGTAAGGATGTGGTAAAGTCACTTCAGGTTTCTGTGTGTCATTTGCTCTACAAAGATAAAATGGTCTTTGTGTGAGTCTACAAACTAATAGCCACATATAAATATATATATATATAAAAAATATATTTTTATAACTGAACTAAAAGTGGAATAGTTTTGCCTGATTTAATGTCATGCATTGAGAAAAAGTGATGTGTTCATACAATTATCTGCTTCAGTTTAATACATTTGCTGTGTTAATTCAGTAACAATACAACAATGTTGCATTGTTACTGAATTAAAACATTCAGTAATAATGCAACATTTTCACCTCAAAGACCCTGAGGAGGCTGGTGACGACCAGCAACCAATCCTGTGGGTCTGCACAAGTCGTGTCTTTATTTGGTGGTGTGTGAGTTGAATTAAGCTCTGATAGGCTCTTTAGAAAAATCCTCCTTCAGATAATCAGATATTAAAGAAGCAGCAGGATGAGATGAAACCATTTCTACATCTAAACCAAACCTGCCAAAAACCAAGACCTGAGAACTCGTCAGCTGATCAAAGACTCTTCAGTAAATCAGGTAAAATGTTCACATTCTTGACTCTGTTCTCTTCAATAATACATTATCCATCATTATGATTTCTTTAACGATGTTATATTGCATCTGGTATTAAACAAATATCCATCTAGGTTTGGTCAATCAGCAGGAACTGTAGATAACAGAGACAAGTCAGTTTTAGTTATAATCCAAAAATAAAAACACATTAACCAGCTGGTTAATAAAAACACATTAACCAGCTGGTTAATAAAAACACATTAACCAGCTGGTTAATGTGTTTTTATTTTTGGATTATAACTAAAACTGACTTGTCTCTGTTATCTACAGTTCCTGCTGTTGCTCTGCTGCTCTGAAGACGACCAACACGGGCAGAAATGGTAAAGTAAAAACAGACAGGTGTACTTTTCACCAAAAACTATAATTTAAAAACTCTGCTAAACAATAAACTTTATGAAGTGGACAAACTACCCTACGCCTGGTTGGCTTAGCCCCGCCTTCGAGACGCAGCTCCTCGTCTGAGCTGTGGTTTCCAAGCCAATTTCAAGGTGCTAAATCACAAATCACATTTATTTAAAGTCATATTTCATATAAATAGCATTTTTATAACAACTGAAGTTAACATAATTATGTGAATATGCTATGAAATGATACAATGAGCCTGGAAATAACATAATACTGTTCCTTTAAGGGTCTGTTTTTCTAATGACGGTTTATTTTTATTCTCTACGTTTGGAGACAAATATCAGTACTACTTCTTACTGGCACATTATTTCTTTATATATTGGTAATGACTTTTTATAACAGAAATACTGAAAATCAATTGTAACAGCAGCATGGATGTACATTTATGCCAGGTTGTGATTAAAAGTGAAAAAGTTCTTGTATGCCAAGAGTTAAGAAAAAGGAGTTTTGTAAATTTTGTGAATTTACACATCAGGCCTAATTAGCCACTAAGAAAATGTGCTTAGAAACAAATTTATCCAATGACTAAAATGAACTAAAATCTGAACCTTTAGTTGTTTTCAGAAAGCCTCAAGTTAAATCTTTAACTTGATTTTGATCATTCATGAAAATTTTAGAAACAATTAAAAAAAAATGTTTATCATTTGATAAGTTGTATTTTTTCTGTTCGCCAAACAGGTTATTAGAGCAAAGTCTGTTTTGTTTAAGGCAGGATTTTATCCTGATGATAACTTTGATTTCTGCTCCTTTCAGTTGCTGTTGCTGCTGGTTGTGTCCTCAGCCTGCGCTCAGCGCCTGGAGGAGAACCAGCCACCAGATGAAAACGGTACGAGAGCAGAGTTAAGCCTTAGAATAAAAGTTTGATTCTTTTCTTAAGAATGTTTCTGGATTAAACAGTAGAGAAGTCTGGCAAAAATTAAAGGGTAAAACATCTTCAAAACCAACAGTAAAAA